GCAACCCCTCGAGTATCCAGGTAGAGCTGTGTTCCTTGGGGATTTCAAGGGCTAACTTATCAGGCTTTTCTCCATTTGTGCAGTGTGTTACTATTTGCACCACTCAAGGACCCCTCTGGAATATACAGATTTCTAAAAACCACCCAAGATAAAAATGAGCAGAGCATTAGTATTCATACTTATCTACCTGAAGTAAAGGGTAAATCAGAAAGTGTATAACTCAAACATAATACTGTGTCACTAGATCATTTTTTATGAGCAAACTTCCATTTTCTGGACTTGGTACCAAATAGACCTTGGTTCAGCCATATAACAAGTTAGACTTTCAGAGAATTTACATAAGAAAAAAAAGCATATCCACAGATAAACCCCAGAGGGGAATGGCACTAATGTGATAGGAGGTAAGGAAACAGACTTCCCATGGCAATGATTGACTTAGTAGAAGGAGGTTAGGGAAGGCCTTCAGAAGGAGATGCTAGAGAGTTGTCTTGAAAGAACAAATGAGATTTTTAAGTGTCTAGTTTGACATTCATTTCTGTTGTCATGTACATTACTGATCTTTCTGGTGCAGCTACCATACATACTAAATACAATTTTGTCTTCATAGCTAAACACAAGCTCAAAGACTGGTTCCATTCGCAGCGACTCAGCTTTGTTGATGCATTTTTCTCCAGCATTGTTTTGCAATCAGATTCTCTTGTTCTTTGCTTCAACTCAAGAGTGCCTGTCTTTCCATTGTATTGCTGAATGGGCTCAAATGACCAACCTTTGGGTTATCAGTTGAGCACAAACTGCTCATATGCTCGTGCCACTTAGGGATCTACAAAGACAACTGTTGTTCTGTTACTAGGTGCCACTGAGTTATTCTGACTCATCGTGGATGAACCCATGAACAAAACTCCTCCTGGTCCAGCACCATCCTCACAATCTCTGCTATTCTCAAGGCCGTTGCTGCAGCCACTTTGGCTTGCTTGCTTCCTTCTGGCAACATGTCCAAAGCATGTGAGACAGAGTCTTCTGCAGCATTCTGACTGTCCTCCTTCTGAGACAGATTGGAGACCCCATAAATTATGTTCCCAGTTCATCTTATCTGTGTACCTGAAAGTCCTTTTGCCTTCCTTCTCTATCATTCTATGTTCACATCATTCCCCTTTTCTTTACTTCCCTAAAATGTGAATCTTCTCTTAAGTGGCTACTCCTCTTGCTCCAGCCTTAGCCTTTCTACCGTCCATTCCATAGTTTACTGAGCACCCACATATACTGGGCACTGTTCAAGCCATGTGTGCTACATGAGTGTTCAAGTGAGACACCAATCTCTGTCTTCTGAAATGCTAGTTCTGATAGTTGAAGCATCCTAGGACATCACCTGGGAGCTGATCTCTTACCTCATCTACTGCTCTAGCATTCTATTGTCGATCTTCAAATGCAGGCCAATCTGAAACCAAGAATTCTTAATTTTTTGTTGTTATTAGGAGACATCGAATTAATTACAATTACAGTGACCCTATGAACAACAGATCAGAAATCAGAGTGACCCTATGAACAACAGGCTGGATCCTTGCCTGAATCCTGCTCCATGCTCACAAGCACGGCCATGCTCAAGCCCATTGTTACAGTCACTGTATCAGTCTGTCTCCTTGAGGATCTTCCTCTCGTTCACTGACCCTATCTATATTTTTCCTAGCAAGGATTGGCTGCACCTGACAACATGCCCAGAGTATATGAGAAAATGTATCACTCTTCTTGCCTTTAAGGAGCATCATCATTGCACTTCCTCTAATATAGATTTTTAGTTCTTTCACAAGTCCATAGAATGGATAATCAATACTTTTTTGCTAACACCAGAATTCAGAGGCATCAGTTTTTCAGTTTTCTTTATATTTTCTGAATTTTAGATGCTTACAAAGCACCTGAAAATACCAGGGCTTGGATCAGGTTAACCTTAGTCTTCAAAGTGATATCCTTGTTCTTTAGCACTTTGGAAAGTTCACTGATAGCAGATATTCTCAATGAAATATGTCTTTTGATTTCTTTACTGTTACTGTCATGGATGTTCATGGATCCAAGTAAAATAAACCCTTGGCAACTCCAAGTAAAATAAACCCTTGGCAACTTCAATCTTTTCTCCATTTATCATGATGTTGTGTATTGGTGATATTGTCCAATGGTGATGATTTTTGTTTTCTTGACATTAATGTAATCTATATTGAAGCCTGTGGTCTTTTCTTCAGTAAATGGTGTTCTCACTGCAAGCAAGGTTGTGTCATCTGCATAACGCAGGTTCTTGATGAGTCTTCCTCTAATCTTTTTTTTTCCTTTCTCCAGTCTTGATACTACATTCTTCCTGTAATCCAAGTTCTCAAATGATTTGCTCAGCATATAGACTGAATAGGTCTGAAGAATGGATGCAACGCTGGCACACACATTTCTTCTTGTGGTGTTTTTTTGTTTTTGTTTTTTTTTTTACATTTCTTGTGTTTAACCCATGTAATGTTACCTTGTTCTGTAACTGCTTCTTGGTCTATGTGTAGGTTTTACTTGAGCAAAATTAAGTGTTGTGGGATTTCCATTCTTCTTAATGTTATCCATCATCTGTTATGATCCACATAGCCTTCCAAATTAAACTGTACCTAGGTCAGACTGCATAGTTTCATTGATGGCCAATATAGTAGAACTTGGTGATTTAAAAAAAAAATAATAAAGTAGGGAAAGGAAGGGATTACAGTATGTGGATTTTACTTTTAAAGTATAGGTAAATATTGTTACAAATAAAGATGTATAATGTATTATGTATAATCACATAATCTTTTTGGCAAGAAGAATAAACAATAAAGGAAAACCTGTAAGAAATATAACAAAGCCAGACCTTCACATCGCTTTTATGGATTCTGCCTCTGATCTCTGGTCTCATTTGAATCCTCAAGAGAATTTGCATGAGAGTCACATGAGGCCATGTGTTGCCTGTTTAAGGGAACCGCATGATGTGGTTATCGGGTAGAGCTTAACTTAGTCATACAAGCTTCAAAGCTGCCCACTCTGCCTCATTAAGTCCACTTCTTCTTGTTTAAGGCACTTGTGAACACAGAACATTTTATATGATCGGAAATCAGAAAATAGTTTCTGGAGGAAGGGATGCCAGTGCGTTTCAAGTTGGTAAAAGAAGAAATGAGTGTAAACAGCAGCTAGTAAGCATTTGTCGTCTCATCAGCTGTCCACTCTCCTTCACTGCAGTCTCTCCCAGAAGTTTGGATATCAGCTAAGTAACCTCCAGCTCAGCCCTCTTTGCAGAGTCTAACAAAAGTAAGGAGCCCTGATGGGTTATGTGTAACTGAAAGGTGGTGGTGTTGCTGTTGTTAAGTGCAGTTCAAACCCAACAGCTGCTCCACAGGGGATAAAAAAGAGAGTCTCCTGCCATTTAGATTTACATTTTTGGTTGTTCTTCAGGATTACAGTGAGTTGGAATCTCTGACAGCAGAGGGTTTTCTAACTGTAACTTGCCCAGTGCAGCAGAATCTCATCCACAAGAGGAGACTGTGTGTTTCTAAAAGGTAAAGCAAAGGAAATTACAGAAAGAGTTCCGTTTCTTTAGAGAAAATAACTTTCTAAGCCTTAGAAACTCAAGAAAGGAGCTTCAAGCCAGGGGTGGAAGGTATGGGCTTACCTGTATTTATTAATCTACATGAACGCTTTCACTATTTTTCACATCAATGATGATGGGGGGAGGGCACCCAAAAACCAAAAGCACAAGAAACTGTTCAGTATAGATAATAAGCCCGTGCTTATATTGTTTATTGTTTACTCCATCCCTGAGGGATTATATATTTGAAAAGGGGTGGATTCTGCAGGGAGAAGCTGTGGTATTTGGGACAGACAGCTGCCAGCCATACGTGGAAGCAGAGTCTTTAGTGTGGTGAAAAAATGTGCCATTGCTCACTTCAGATGAGAACATGCACAAGGACACCTGTGCTGCTTTGCTTAATGGATAAACCTGCTCCCTTAGGTGTGAATCTGCTCGGATACTTTAAAAGGTCATTTATGTACCAAGTAAGCTCTCTCAAATTGATGGACAGACGGGCAGTCTCAGTCCCTTCTGAGAAGAAATGGACCTTAGAGCAGATTCACAAACTCACAAGCCACCTGCACCAGGAATGCACTAGGGGTGCGCTGCTAACAAACCAAAAGAGGCAGCTTCCCTGACTAATAATTATGCCACTCTGTCTGTCCACTCATCTCACCAATCGCCAGATTTTCCAATTTCCCTCAGGAAGCCTAGACTCCACAATTTTAAATTAATTTAGCGATCTTTAACTATTAGGTATCTATTGGAAAAATTGGCAAGACTATAAGGCCAAACAGATTGGGCCTTAGAGGTCAATTTCCGAGGGAATTTTGGCATTCAGAGTCAAATGCTTTCTTGGGTTTTTGGGGTACGGTGGTGGCGGATTCGTGCGTGTGGGGCAGGGACAGACGGACGAGGCCTTTCTCCAGAAGTCTGCAGTGTTAGGGCTCATCCCAGGCCCCCTACTAAACTACCAAAACCAAAGCCTCTGCCGGATGATTCCCAGCGACAGAGCCGACCTGCCCCACGGATTTCCGAGGCAGCAGATCTTTAGGGAAGCTGACTGCCACATCGTTCTCTCTTAGAGCAGCTGGCAAATTCAACCAGCCAACCTTTCAGTTACCAGTCGAACTTAACCACTGAGGCACCTGGGCACTTTTCCTACAGGTGCATCCTTTCCCGAGCAGCTCCAGACCAATATAGAAAAGCAGGAACGCAGCAAGGCAGCAGCGGAAGGTCCCGCCTTCGCCTGCACTCACCACCAGTCATGGCGCTGCCAGTAAGCGGTCCTTGAGCGCTTATTGGTCGAGATCACGCTGTCCTCGAACGGTGATTGGGCGAGCTGCTAGTTACTGGGATGTCCCTGGGAGGTCCGAGCGGAGAGTACTGCTCTGGAAAGGCATTAACAGGCTCTCCCGGCGCGGAGCTGGCTACTTTATACTCAGTCCGGTCCTGCCCACCTTTGCGGGTTGCCAGCAAGGGGAGGAGCTAGGCGACGAGGCCTGGGGGCTCTGGATAGTGGACACCAAGGGAAGGGCGAGGGTGCAGCGGAGCGGGAGAGCAGGGACCCGGTACATGAAACTCAGGAAAGGCCCTAGAGGTAGTAGATGAGTGGGTCGACGGGGGTCTCCGTAGTGAGGCGAGGCACGCCCAAGTGGCCAGTGCCCTGAGAACTGGGTGTACTGGGAGAGGCTGTCCAATGGACGCAAAGAGTGTTTTGGGCGCGCCCCTTGGTGCCTCCCTAGCGCCAGGAAGTCGTCTCCGCACGAAATGGGGGGGCTGGGAGCTCAGGCAAGGAACCCCGCGGCCGTTTAGGCTCAGATTCTGCTGAGTCACAGTGACTCTAGACTTAAATTTAGAGGGTTGTGGAAAGAGAGCCCCAGAGAACCAGGAAATCTGCTTCCATGGATTTGAACTTGTTTTTCCTATGGAAGGTTGAGCGCTTGCACCTGGTAGTAACCCTTTCCCCTCTGTGCCATATAGTTGGGAATCTAATTGGTTAGTCGCTCCCCTCAAGATCCATATACAGGCCTCCCTAGGATGTAGTCACAGTATAGGAGAGCATTTAGAGGGGCTTAGACATTAAAGCACAGTCTCACTTTGGCATATGTTGTTGATTGCCTTCAAGTGGAGCATGACTTATGGCGAGCCTATGAACGAAAGGCCTGAAAGCCCCGCTACAACTATCGACATTTATCAGAACTTTGGGATATAGAACAAAAAAATTTTCAACCTTAACAAAGTAAGAGCCAACTTGATTTTTCAAAACAGAGGTGAGACATACTGTGAAAAAGTAGAGGAAAAGGAACTGCCGAGTGATAACCATCAGCAGAATTATAAATGATGGCCAAGGTGATTGAGGGGGAACAGAAGGTGGAATGGACACAGAGATGGGCCAAGCAAGGGTGAAGTGGTCAGGAAGAAAATTTAAGGGGACACTAAGTAAACAATACTCCTTACAATATTTCTGATTCAGTGTTCAAAAAGAAAAAGATCATGCAAGATAAAGGATAAAACAAAGATGAGCTTGGTTACATGTCAGAGACAAAATAGGCTTCTTTCTGATGTTTTGGTCCTCATGGACTTGATTCCTTAATTTTTTAAAAAAATAAATATTGACATTAAAATTAGAATTATCTTGGTTATTTGACATCTTAAAAGTTTGTGCCTGGGACAAGTATCTCCTTATGTCATCTTATTCTTGACCCAGGCTGCAATTAAAAGACCAATTGAATTGGCAAAATCTGTTATCAGAGACCTCTCCAAAATACTGAAGAGTAACAGTGTCAGTCTGGAGACTAAGGTGCACCTGATCCAGGCCATATAGCCTTTGCAATTACTTGCTATGCATCAGAAAGCTGGACAATGACTAGGGATGATACAAGGAGAATTTATGCCTTTGAGCTGTGATGGTAGAGAAGAGAATTGAATATACTATGGACTGCAAGCAGAACAAACAGGTTCATCCTAGAGAGGGTGAGACCAGGCTGCTCCTTGGAGGCGAGGATTCTGAAGCTTCATCTAACATACTTTGGACATGCTGCAAGGAGGGACCAGTCCTTGGAGAGGGACAGTACCAAAGAGGAAGACCCTGGATGAGATGGATGGATTCAGTGACTGGGGTAATGAAGGTAGGTGTGTCAGAGACAATAAGATTGGAACAGGATAGAGCAGGGTTTAGGGCTGTTGTACATAGTGTTGTTATGAGTCACCGATGACTCGACAGCATATAACAACATATTATGCTTTGGTTTTTTTAAATTTTTTAAATTGTGCATTGTGCATTGATCCTGTCTTGGTGATCTTGTGATGGAATTCTCACCTTCCATGAGAATGGCCTCATATTAGACCCTAGTTGGATTCCTGGCAGATGCATCTCATGCAGCTACCACCTGTCTCTTACTGGAGGTTTGTGTATTGCTGTGATGCTGAGCAGCTTTCAAAGGACCAAGCAGACTAAGATGGACTATGAAGTAAAGCCTGGCACTCTATTTCAAAAAACCCTATGCATCACAGCAGCCTGATCCATGGTTGATCTTGGGGATGCCACAGGACTGTATGAGCCAAGGTTACTGCAGCTAACAATAAAAGCAATTACAAATTAAGAAATAGAGATAAAACCACCTTAGAATGTACCAAATTTATTTTTAAGTGTTTCTTTTAGGAATAGAGAATGGTAGAACTATTATTTGTTCATTTAAGAATTAAAACTATGCTTTAAGGGTATGAAAACTCAGTGGTGAGGAAGAACTGGTCAGAGAGGGGATTTCACATGAACCTTAAAAGAGATTGAGGTCAGGGGAGCTCTGGTGGCCTAGTGGCAAGAAGCTGCACTACAATCCCAGAGGCGCACGGTTCAAATCCACCAGATGCTCTGCTGGAAAAGGAGGGACAATCTCCTCCTGTACCAGTCAGATCTGATTTGGCAGTACACACAAATAATAAAATAAAAATGAAAAAAGATTGAGGTGTCAGAACCCTTAAAAATTGGCTTTTCTAGCCATTGTATTAGCCCTTGTTGAGGGGACATGGTCTCCAGCTACCTTAACTACAGACTCATGGTCTTGCAAATTATCAACAGCTGTGGGACCGATATAAAAGAATGTTTTCCACACTTTGAGAGATGGTGGAGAGGGATTGTGAAGACACTGTGAGAGGGTGGTGGAGAGAGTGAAGAGGTTGTGGTACTACTGTGATGTATGTAACTGTGGCAAGGTGTAACCAGAGGAACATTGGAGATGGAGACACAGTTAAAAGGTTTGCTCCTGAATGAATGAAAAGCTGATTTGTAAACTTGTAACTTATCTGAGATAAAGTTTGCTGGATGATTGAGGAAATCAGATGTTTATTTGTGTTGCTAAACTGTACCTTGTTGACTGAGAAACTGTCTGAATTAATTGAATTGCGCTTTGTTAATCTGGGTTGATGTGCTGGACCAAACCTAGGCTTGCATTGTATCCATATTCTTTGCCTCCCCACTCCCCAACCTGTTTCCTTAATAAACCCCACAACATGAGTAAAGTCTGTGAGTCAAGTTGCAACAAACATTGAACCCAGTCTTGGTAGCAATAGGTGCAGGAGCATGTGGGGTGGCATGTCTGACCATGTAGTTATTTGTATGATATTATGGATATTTTGATGGGAAGGTTCCCCTTTATGAAGTGAGAAGTGGGTAAAAGTGAAACTGAATGACCCTCAGGTTGCATCTGCTCCCTTCAGTAAGGTAGAGTGACACAATGGCCTCAACAGTGGACTCAGTCATAGCAACAATTGTGAGGAGGGTACAGAATCAGGTGGTATTTTGTTCATTTGTGCACAAAGTCAACTATAAATTGGAAGTTACTAGATTGCACCTAACTACAATAATTAATCTTTAAAATAGTATGAAGGAATTTATTTATTTATTTAGAAATAATGAATAACAGGCAAGCCATGGGGAGGAAGAGGAGTGAAAGGTGAGTTCCAAACTCGGGGCAAGGCTCTGAGCCTTCCAGCAGTTAAAGGCCTTCTGCCAGTAAACAGCAGGGACACTCTGCACAAACTCTGATAAGAGCTGATAAAGATACTGTGGACTGTACTATGGACAAAGTTAAGGAAAGGACAGAGAACCTTGTTACTCTCCGAGTTCTGAAATCTGTTAAGATGAATGTGACAAGGCTGATGTCCCCTTGGTCAGCAACCTGACTCTTCCCTTCCTTACACAAAGGTAGGGTCCATATAATTTTGTTGTATATACTGGTCATAGAAATGATACCATATTAATTTATGCTTCTCTCAGTGATAAAAATATGCTACACTTAAAAGTGCACTAATCTTCCAACTTTCTTATCTCTTCATGGGGAAAATGGTCTAAATCTAACTTGAATTTCTGGCTGTTCTCTGTCAGTGTACTGTTCTAGCTGGTTTTGAATAATCTTCAGCAAGATTTTACTTGCATTGGATATTAGTGATACTGTTTGATCATTTTCACATTCTTTTGTATCACCTTTCTTGGGATAGGAATAAATATAGATCTCTTCCAGTCGGTTTGCCAGGCAGCTGTCTTTCAGATTTTTTTTAATTGATTTGCATAAAAAATTTCTGTACATTGTGTTTCATGCCATCCTTCATTCACATTGCATTTCATATAGTCATTCCCATTCACTGTATTTTATAAAATTAATCATGATTGAACTATGCCCACCATTACGCCATCTTTCCAGATTCCTGCCCAATCTTTCCCATTTCCTTGACTCACTCTCTCTACCCATCACTTTGTATGACCCTATGATTTTCTCTTTGTCCATTCACCCCACTTTGCTTCCATCCCTTCCTCACCTTATTTGACTAGTTATCCTTCTATTTCTACAATAATGCTCTTATGCAGTATTTGCTCTTATTCTTCCAGATTTCTTGGCATAGGCTAGTAAGCCATGTCCTGCATCTTTTTTGTTGAAACGATAAACTTAAAAGCTCACCTCAATTATTTTACACAACATCAAAACCATTTAACCATTCTTTTGGCTTCTCAGATAGATCCTCTTCAGTTAAAAAGCAAAACTAAGATTAATGTTCTAACTTCAATTTGTCTCTTCAAGAACGAAAGCAAGCACAAATTTTTAAAAATCAAAATAAATGTAGATTCAAGTACACACATACAAAGAGGAGAGAACATCTTTCTCATTACATTATTTCCTTTTTCTCTAATGCTGCTGGTGTAATGTTTGGGAGTTCTATGGATATTAAATACACATAGGGTCGCTGTGAGTCACAAACGACTCGACGGCACATAACAACAACACCACCTCAAGAATATTTTTTTTTTGTGAGAATACAGTCCATCGTTTTATTCGGGTATTTATACAGTCCAGCCAGTGAGGGATAAAGGCTCACACAACTACAGACACATACGGTGAGGAGAAGTGCTGTAGAACCTCTCCCCTTTTTCTTCTTTTTTCTTTTCTTTTTTTTTTTTTTTTTGGTTAAGGGGGAAATCTGTATAATCAATATCCCACTTATGTAAAAGTGGGATAGTGAAAAAACTTGATTGTTTTTAATATGGCATTTTTGTATATCTTCACATTTAATATGTACAATT